TAGGTATTACAACGAGAAGGTGATTTATGAGGACATTTTCAGTGTCCCCGTAATTCAAAAAGGCAGAATGAGTTTTTTTGAAAATATAAAAATGCAGAAAGTTTCCTGTAAGGGGTAGGTTTAGGGGTAGGGTACACCTAAATAGGGAACACCTGGAAACAATGAACATAATCAAACATGGGAGAAACTGGGTCATGGAAGCACATGGGGAGCAAAACACAAGACACGGAACACAGGGTCAGTCCAAGGGTATGACACACACACACATATATATATATATATATATATATATATATATATACATATTAGGTATTAAAAGAAGTATTTTATGATGAAATAATGAATAAACCATTAACAAGCCTGATATAATGCTTAATTGAATTGAAAGTTTATTGACATTTGTAAGCATTTAATTTTACATTAAATAATGATCTGTTAATCATTAGAGAATGTTTAATAAATACATTAGTAAACATTAACAAGCATATTATCTCATATTTCTATGTGAATAAATCAACTAAAGATCTGCAAAGCATTATGTAATGTCTGTTAATGATTTATTAATGAAAGTTATTATAAAGTGTTACTATCTGTTTTAACATATTTTAAAACATCGTTTATTTCCGTGATTACTCCAGTCTTCAGCGACATGATCCTTCAGAAATCATTTTAATATGCTGATGTTGTGCTCAAGAAACATTTCTTATTATTTGTGAAAACAGTGTTACTTTTGTATGATGAACAGAAAGCTCAAAAGAATAGCATTTATGTTTAGTTATACTTTCTTTGTAACAATGTGAAAGTCTATCAATGTAAAACGGTCACTTCTGATTTTTATACATCCAAGCTGAATAAAAGTATTAATTTCTTTCAAAAATAAATAAATAAGTAAATAAATAAATACAAATGTAAATAAAAAAAAGTTCTGATGAAGACACAAACTCATCTTGGATGAAGGCGAAATTACATTTTCAGGAAATGTTCCTTCTCAGGTAAACGATTCCTTTAAGCGGGTGAATGATGCAGTGTCCTCTTGTGTTCTGCAGATTTTAAACATTAACACTTAAGTGTATGTCGCACTCAAGCAAAGTTTGAAATAATTAGTGTAAGCACAAATAAACTGCCCAAAAGTGCATTTTCAGAATTCAGCAACTGAAACAGAAAGAATGTCTATCTAAGCCGTTTCAGGACTGCATTACTACAGATAAAGCAATACATCATGATGTAAACCTTACAGGGAGAGTTGAAAAAAAAAACCTTAATTAGCCTTCCGCAACACAACTGAGTGACGTTTTTAATAAGAGATTTTGCAACAAACAGATTCAAGTGTTGTAGCACTTCCAAAGTGCATACGTTCACGTATGCTTTCCAAAGCGAATTTTTGAGTGAGTCAGCGCTGGTGAAATTGCTGTTGCTATTCGAATTTGCCTCATGATTGCCTTTAAGTTTCCAGATATTTAAATGGAAACAGAAATACATTTTCTTTTCCCAGCCTCCCCTGAGACAACATGCAACAAAAAAATAAAGGGCATGGAAAATCTACAACTGATAAATGATGATTGTGTCTTCTCAACATTGAATAGGCTCTCTATACAGTACATTGTGAAGAAGGATTATAATGAATTTTTGAGAAGAATAGCTGGGTGTTCCATGAACACTTTTGGTCAGGAGAATTCTCTCTCTCTCTCTCCCCCTCTATTTGTTTTATTATTATTGTTATAATATTATATAGTTGTTTTGGTTATATATTTGTAGCTGAAGTTTTAAAGTTTTGGCCTGTGACATGAGTCATCATAAATGATGAAAACATAGTAACAAAAAATGTGTGTGTGTGTGTGTGTATATATATATATATATATATATATATAAATATATAGTATGTATATATATATATATATAAATTAAAAGTGAAGGCATCAGAAATCTTGGTCTCTTGTGCCTGCAGCCATGTTTCTTCTATTGCTTAACCGTAAAGCAATTTAGATTCAAATAACTACGGATACAGTAGGGTCAAAGGAGCACTGTCATTTCAATTGTCATTATCCCAGTCATTCTAATTTTTTTAAGCATCTAATGGCGTTCGGACAGCCTGGAGCTCTCGCTAAAGTACCTTACTTTAATGTGATGACTGCAAAGATGTCTTGCATCCAACCCGAGGTTGGATAGAGGGTGAAACTTAAAAGTAACTAGGAAATGTGTCTTAATGACCTTCTTATTCTCTACATGCACTTGAAAGAGGTGTGTCAAGTTTTTCACCATTTTACCAGTGAAAGCACTTGTATCAGTGTAGGCTCATTCGACCCTTGGGTCTATGGGATTAGCAGGACTTTACTTGTACAAACATGACTCCATTAGCTAATCACATGATAAATTTGCTCCGTAACTCTCAAACACAGAGGCTGACTAATGCATATTCATTGTAAAACACATGTGCGTGTTGGTGATGATAGCTCTACCAAAAATGGCGTGATGGTGATGCCATAATTTAGAATTTAATAAACTTGGCTGATCCAAAATATATATCTAGGGACAAACAAAAGGTATGAATGTACTAATTTAAAGCAGATTTGTAGCTTTTTTTTAGAAGTTTAAAATCAAGACACAACTATAAGTTGTTAGTAGATTGGTTTACCTAGTTAGCTGTCACAACAACAATAATAATATATCGTTTGAATTGCTTAAAGGTGTTTGTCATGATGGATGGAATGATATACAGTATTTTATGTTTTAGTCTATGAAAGTGAAAGGTTGCTTCACCCATTTTCCCCCACTGGAATTTCCTCTCCAGAACATTAAGCACAACAACAATGTACTGTTCAAGTGAATGACATGGAACATAAGCAGAAGACTAGTTCTAAAATAAAAGAAGCTTGTTTAGTGTGTCCAGAACAGGTGTAGTCCACATATTTTGGGCTTTTACTCTGACTACAGTGTTTTGTACATGTCCATAAATCATATGGATTTTTGGGGACTGTTCCGAAATGAAAACAAACACAACCAGTACGTGTTTTTTGAGTATTTAGCTTTTTCAGTCTTTCATTTCTACATGAACTGTACAACAGCGATCCAGAACCTTGTCCGTGGTCCTGAAGCCACTCTTCCTCAGCTGAGCAGACATGACGCTGTCCATGGTCCTGAAATTAATCTTCATGGTCTTCCGCAAAGGTACATCGTATTGGGCCTTTCTTTCAAAGAAGACAGACATGGACAACCCAGCAGAATATATTTTGTAGATCTGTGATAATTTGTATTTACAGTGGGTACGGAAAGTATTCAGACCCCCTTAAATTGTTCACTCTTTGTTATATTGCAGCCATTTGCTAAAATCATTTAAGTAAAATTTGTTTCCTCATTAATGTACACACAGCACCCCTGTGACACACGGAGGATCTCTAGTAAGGTTTTAAAAGTCTCATAAAAGGCAGTTCATTAAGATTCCATATACCCAAGACCATTGCCAAGCACACGTCTGAATCCACTCCACGTTAGACCCAGTAAACATATGATGTAAAACCAAGGGGTGTTGTTGATATGGCTTGTAATGCCTCATTAAACTAATCTTGTAAAGTGCAGTTGAACTTCTGCAGATAGTGCTGACGGCCGCCTATCTCTGCCCTTCACATCAATGTTCCTCATGTTTCAGTGGGGACCATCAAGGAGCTAACTGGGGGTCGAGGATGCCCACATCACCACTAGGGCCCACATCCAGGCGATGCAACAGAGAAGCTCCTTTAAATGTGTCATCGAAACACCACTGCTCTGCATCACTTCTAGCATGGTTGCCTAGCAACTAGACAGCAAATGCCTGCATCCCTTATCTTCTGAGTAAAAATACATGCAAAAGAAATCACACCTCTTATGTGTCTGTGCAGTTTGCACAATCATTTTTATCATTTCATTTGATCGTTAATCATTGATCTGAAATTTCAAACTGCATGTTAGCGTGTGCAAAGAGCGGCTCTGATTTCAAATGGTCATTTATCCATCCATTGTTATTTTGAGGGTGTGTTTTAGCTGAAGAATGTGGAAAAGTGGAAGAAATGCATGAAAATGCGCCGGGATACTCTCGCAGCATTTTAATAGGTTGCAGCTCGCGAGCCGACAAGTACAGACATCATTCCTCCGCTAGACACGCGCGTGGACAGACTACCTTTCCTCTTTAGTTCGCTTTCGCTTTTATTTTATTTTTTCAACAAACACCTACATTTTACTCAGCACATTCAAAAAAGGACAATGTCCTTTTCTCTTCTTTTGAAATCCAAGCGTGTGCGTCGGAGATTTTTGTTCCAGTCTTGATTGTTTTCTCGGTTCCTGGAGGTGTTATTGCAATTGAAGTGTGTCATCATCTGCTCTGAACAAGTGCAGGAACATGCTCGGGGATTCAATCGAGAGATAAGGGGGCTATTCCAGTACGCTAGACAAATCTTGGACATTTGCGAGCGCTTTATTGTGACACATACACATTTTTTCTTTTCTGCTCCTGCTTCATATAAGGTTGTACTATGGACTACAAGCTCTGACGTCTGCATCAGATATTTGCTGCTGCATTTCTTTAAATGCAGCGCATATAGGCATATTATTGAAAACTAAACTTTTTTTTTTCTTTATAATTCGTCATAATATTTATTTCGTTTGTGTGGTTTACGCATTATTCCCTTTTTAAAAAAATCCATGTTCAGATAAACAGTAAATGAATGAATAAAAAAAACAATAATTAGTACAGCTATATGAATACATATACCATCTTTCTAACCATATTCTACATGCACTTGGGCTTGCGATTTATCAGTGACAACTCAGTATTCTGGCATCAATTAAAATCAGCTCATAACAGAGCTGTGTTTTGAATCGCATATAAGCAAATTAATTAATTAATTAATGTATTTCTTTAACAACGTTTTCCAACATCTGTGACCAATATGTTTTTGATGCAACGGTCCACTGAGTGGATATACAAATGATCAGTGTTTTTCTTCTGATCCACCCCCACCCATGCCACCATGTCGCTGGCGTTAGAAGAGATCCATCATCACTCAGCCAATAAGAATAAAAACGACGACGCCTATCAGTCAATAATGGTTAATGACATGTGTTCACTGGTGATCATTGAGATGCGACGTGGCTTTGAAGCCTCTGAGGCCGAATGCACATATCTTTTCTCCATGTCACACTGTGTTTGTGGAACACCTGTAAGACAAATTACATGCCTGATTATACTTTAAACATTGTAATCATGGAAATCAACAGTGGTTGCTTAAAACCTTAATGCCACTTTGACGTTTTACTACATTCCTTTCAGTTTAGTGTGCATGGCTGAGGGTTTTTTTTTTTCTTTTTTTCCACAGATGCATTTTGAAGCCATATATAGGCTGTTCTGCAAATTATTGGTTGTAAAAAACACACTAAGACATGTCCCTAAAAAGGAAGTCTTAAACCTTTAAAGACCCAGCAGGAACCCCCACTTACATGTTCAGCCAGGCACCCCCAATACCTACATTTTACTTTTTTTTTTTTTTTTTTTAAATAACGTTAATACATTATTAAACAGAATACATTTTTTATATATATATTTACAGGTAACACTACATATTTTTGTTAGCTGATACGTCCTGCTGTGCAACATTCTATTCTGAATTGAAAATGATTTTATGTACTAATTATTAGGCATACAGATTTAATGACCTCATAGTCATTGAGACTGAATGTTTGCGCTTTTAAAACAAATTGTCATACCACATAACCATCTACAAAAAAAAACTGGTGAGGGCAAAGAGGTAAAAACGGTCTGCAATTTCATCTAAATATTCATATACATTTTATCCTAAAATCTTGATGTTGATGAAGAAAAGGAATATGTTATGCATCAACTACCCATCTGTTCACAGACCCTCAGGGGTCCCAGGACCCTAAGTTAAAACCCCTGGCTGTAGACTGCATGTTTGAAGCAGATAAACCCGGCCATACCAGTCGTCAAAGTTACATGTTGAACTGACCTCCCTCTGTTGATTGCTGACAATATGATGTTTTAAGGTTTTTGTTATTAAGCAAAATGACAGTCGTGCATTTTTGTGAAGAAGTGTGCTTTTTGTACTTTTTGAGATTACTGTAAATGGCACTTTCAGTAACAGTTTATGCCCTGGAAAAAAACAAATCAATGAATCGTTCAATCCCACAGATTTATGTTAATGATTATGTGGTGATTATATTGATCTAAGCCTCTTCGGATTGGCAACACTCAAGAAAAAAGAAAATCTGAATAAATACAAAATGCAGTGCAATAAAATCAAGGAAATATGATTTAATCAAATCACATAAATTAACATATTAGCCATATGTTGCATATTTTGCTTTAGCTGAATTTCAACAAAAAGTGCTCTCAATTCTCTCTCCTGCAGCACCTCCACCGGAAGTACCGGAATATCTGTGGCCAAGACGACAGTGGACAAATTGCTGAAGGGGTATGACATCCGCCTTCGGCCAGACTTCGGAGGTACACGTGATTCTTTATTAGAAATGTAGCTATCGTAAATCATCACCAGTCACTGTAGAAAAGGTCACTTATCTGGAGTATAGTGATAAACATTATCATTGACTGATGTAGTATGTGCATAGTCATGCAATATTTTCCGCATCTCCTTGTGTAGGAAGAAAGAAAAATTGAAATGCGTATATATATATATACATATTAAGACTAAAGTTTGTTACTTGTGGTCTCATGTCAACACTTAATGTTAATGTGAATGTATGAAGGCAGACATTTTCTAGAAATTACTGAAACATCTCATGGTTTAATAGTATCAATCTCAAGGTTAGGCAGTACTGAAAGAAAACAAGGGACTGTTTGAGATGGAAAGGCATTTTGTGCTGTACTGTACCCTCGCCCCCTGTAAAAAGTTGTGTTGGTACAGTTTGCACAAAGGCTGAGCACACAGTTTTAGGTTGCTGCTCATGGTTCATATTTCTGCACGCGTTCACATTGTTGAAGGACAACGAGATGCTTTTCGAACCACAAAGTCGGGGAAAATTTTGTTTCACCGCACCCAGAATTCAACTTGTCCGGCTATTCATCACAAGCCTTCTGTTTGTCCGCTGATATTGCAGAGACTTTATTTGCTACAGAATGTACTTTTCAGTTCAGCCCTTCAGCAAATTACTTTTGTATTTCATCAAAGAAGCAAGTCAGTCTATCTATCTATCTATCTATCTATCTATCTATCTATCTATCTATCTATCTATCTATCTATCTACCTACCTACCTACCTACCTACCTACCTACACACACACACACACACACACACACACACACACACACACATACATACATACACACATATATATATAAGATGCTTTCAAAATGTATAATTTTTTTACCATAGAGGCTTTTTGGTATTTGGATTTGTTGGTAGAAATGACAAGTCTGATATAGAATTCCGTGCTGCATTGTTGTATTTTAGAACACATTGACCAATTTGAGATAATTAACACTTTCTATGTTCTCTTAAATGAAGCTAGATTGGGTAGTAGATTACTTACATATTGTAGTCCGCTACTGATTCCAAATTACATGACAAAAAATTGTAGTTAGTAACATAATCCATTACATTACACATTTTAGGTAATATAATCGGACAACTTTTAAATTACTTTTAGGTTACTTTTGACCTAAGTCGTTTATCACATTGATTTAAATACTGTAGGATAATCTTGTATCATACTGACGTAAAAATACAAAGTGTAAGAAAATATATACCATTCCTTGTTATTTACAACATGAAGTGCATTAAACATTACATTATGTCAGGGTTTCCCAAACTGGGGTTCGTGAAGGAACTGCAAAGTGTCCGTGAGTTTAATGAAAAGCTAATAATTGATTAAATCATAAAAATGTAAAATTAAAATAAACCATTTTATAACAATCAAAATAAAAACCCTTCCTAAATATATGTTTACTGCTAGTTTATTGCTATTGTGTGAATAATATGTAATCATGCAATCTATAAACTGTAGTCTGATTCCAAGTATTTTAAAAAGTAATCTAATTGCAAGTACTTAATTTTTGGAATCTGATTACGTAATCCAGATTACATGCAATCAGTTACTACCCAGCTCTTCTCTTCAACACAATTTTTACAACACAAAGAATTTTCAACCATTTCATCAGCAGTGATGGCCCCTCCACAGAGCACTGATGTGAGGTCAGTTACCCTGCAGCGCTACACACTTGTATTGGGAGCAGCATCCGCTCTGATGCAGGCCAGGGAACTGTAGTCTATCACATCCTGATAATTCCATCATCAGTCAGAGCCCAAGTCTCCTGACACAACTGCTGACCAACTTCAGCTTTGGAGCGCCGTGCATTTTAATTGGACCCAGGCCACAGCTATTCTAGCCAGCGAGAGAGAGAGAGAGAGAGAGAGAGAGAGAGAGAGAGAGAGAGAGAGGGTGAAGAGAGCAGAGAGGATAGTGATGGAGAGAAAGAAAGAGGTCAGCTAGGTGGTTGAGAAACCAGGCCGTCCTAAAAGAGCTTCATCTCTTTGGCCGGCTAGAGGGATAGCCGCGGGGTTTGGTCGTGGTGTATTTGTGTGTGTGCACACCCCTCAAATCGCACCACACCAACATATGAATTCAAAGCCTGCTTACGCATGCGAGCATACATGGATTCACATACAAAGAGTTGCACAATTTTAGCGCGCTGTATTGCATGCGCAAAACAATAAAATGCCATTAACGAAATATCTGCAATCTAGTTTAACAAACCTCAAAATGTGCTGAAATAGCATTGCACAATGCAGTTTTTTAACTAAGACATTGTCATTCTTTTAAGCGCAAATCCCTTATTATAGATTGTACTACTGTACTAATTTGCTAATACAATTAAGGTTGCACCTGCAAATTGTGTTTCTGTCAGGACCACTATCGTCAAAATGATAGATACTTAGCATAAAGTTTGGTTTGGTGGTATGGTTCTGTTCTGGGCAAAAACCTCCCTGCCCATCCATGCCGCCTGTCATGAATGAGCAGGGAGAGCAGCAATAATAACCCCCCCAGGGTTAACAGAACAGAACAAGGCAGATATCATTAATGTACTTAATGATATTTAAGTGTAACACTTTATTCAAGATAAAGGAGTCTGATTAGCAAGGAATATCAGAAAGCCAAGTCCTGACTGTGGCGAAAGGAGGAGCTGGGGATGGAGAAGGGTAATTTGCTCCGGAGCAAGCTGAAAAGCTGCTGAATAATACTGAATACAGCTTATATGATGACTCTGCATGCTTTCATGCAGAATGCTTTTCATTACTTTGATGTCAAACACTGATCGGTCTGCCCAGCACCACTTCAAGTCAAACAGACCTCATGAAATGTAAGATGACATACATGTGGCAGGTTCTTTCTTTTTTTTACTGTTATATATACAATATATATATGTGAAATAAAGTGACAGTGACATGTGGCCAAGTGACCCATACTCGGAATTAGTGCTCTGCATTTAACCCATCCAAAGTGCACACACACAGCAGTGAACACACACACACACACACCGTGAACACACACCCGGAGCAATGGGCAGCCATTTTTTTGCTGCGGCACCCGGGGAGCAGTTGGGGGTTCGGTGCCTTGCTCAAGGGCATCTCAGTCGTGGTATTGAAGGTGGGAGAGAGCGCTGTACATTCACTCCCCCCACCTACAATCCCTGCCGGTACGAGACTCGAACCCGCAACCTTTGGGTTACGAGTCCGACTCTCTAACCATTAGGCCACGATATCATGATCCTAGTGACCCTCAATTTTCTAAAATAGTATTATAATATTATAAATTAATCATAATTAACTTTCTTTTCAATACAATGTGACTTAAAAACAGGATATTGCTTTTTGAGCTGCAGCTCTATTGGTGAAATATTGTAATTAGTAGGTGATTAGTAATCACTGTAAGTGATAAAATCACTACTTTTATTTACTTACTTCCCGACACTAAAAATCTATCCATCCATTAGTCTATCAATCCAACCATCCATCTTACATACTAGGACAATTGAATCCTATAGTAAATAATAATAATTAGCCTTTTCTGACTGAGTGTTGAGGTTTGTAGGCATTTATATTATTTACATTATGTACATATATAAGGTACAAAAGCATTCATACACATTTATTTGTTAAAAATGAAACACAATTACATTCACTCTCACTTACCAGGGTCATAGTTCTCTCTCATCTGTACATATGTGTAAACATCAACACAACATTTACCTGTGTGTGTTTACATTACGTAAGCAGTTCATGCTTCCCGGCACCCCTCCAGACTTACATCCACCCACACACAGGGCATTCTGACAGAACAGGCTCCTGTCTATTCGTCTGAATCAGAGGATGGTTTGACTGAGATTCCTATTACAATCTGCCTGCACAGAAAGGTTCAGATTTAAAGAGTTTATCTCAATTAACCACATTTGTCTTTCTCTTTTCTGATTTGGTGACATGGCCACTATTATTGCCAACAGCAGTGCTACTGATACAACACAAACTCTGCAAGAATCCCTTGTGGAAAAAAGTACAATTTAGTATACTTTTGAAAAGAGCACTTTTTTACATAAATAATATGCTTGAAATAATATACGTAAGTGCAAAATTAATGTAATGTTTTTGGGGCGCTTGCAGTAATTTTATGTTGACTGCAAATTTATGTAATGGATGGACAAATCAGACACATTATTATTTTTTATATTTAACAAATAATCCAACAGACCCCTCACTCAGCAATCTGACTGGGTGCCATTACGTCTGTGAACGACCAACCAGGACACTGGTTACCATGGCAGTCAGGACACCTCAGTCAGATAACATAGCTTATATGGCTCAATGGTATTCACCTCACCCCACTGGAAGTCACTTTAAAACAGATGCATACTGCCAATAGGAAAGGACTTATTTCATTAATTCATAGCCAGACTTTTCTATGAATGAAATGCATATCCCCAGGTCATTGTGTGTATGATTATTACCGTCTTGTATAGAGCCTTTTGCACTGTATACTGCTTTATGTGTGCTTATGATAGAACCACTAGTTAATGTAACCTTGCATACCATGTTTGGTATCTATGAATTCGTATTTTGATGATCTAAATGTGAGTGTATATTATATGTTGATACCTATGCAACATATTCATGTTCTAAGAATCTTTAATAGTTTTTGCATCAGCACCCAATCCAGTTGCATATGCAAAATACCATGTTCGGAGGCAAAGGTAAACTTTCCCTCCGAAAGTGTAAGTCAGCATTGGCTCACTGACCTCCTTTACGATCCGATCTTGTTACATGCTCCAATGCACTAGTACTGTAAGAAAGTTATTTTCTGTGGCCACGAAAATGAATGAAATTACACTGAATGTTCACTGGACAAACAGATTAGTTGATGGTTATATTAATTCTGCGACAGTTACTACTGGCAGCTGATATGAATAATTGTTATTAATTATAATCAATTGTAATT